TTGCTGACCTTTTGATTGATTTGGGGAACGTCAAATATATCACTTGACAAAATTGAATGATAAATCTGGAGTGATGAATATTTCCGGTGATTTTAATATAGCGTAATGTTTTGGTATCATTCGTAACTCTTTCAGTTGAACGTCTCTTCTTGCGTTTAGCGTCAATAAATGATGACTCGAAATTGGAGCAGTTCGCATGTTCATCGTTAATGCAAATTATCGAAACGATGTCATCTGGAAGTGAGACTCTTCGTTCGAAGGTCGAATTTATCTTTCATTTATTACTCTCTTCATCTGACGCTATTCAGTACTTTTTTACTTCAATTTAATTTTTGAATTGGTATTTTTCAAAATATCTTGGGACTGTTTGACTTTGCAGGGTATTGAACTTTTGAGTCATTTCAATCGGCGTATCAAAAGCAATTCGACCATCGCATTACCATTCGATCAGCTTGTTACGTATCTTAGTTCAGATCTGGCAACTAGAAATATTATTGCTACGGTGTGTTTTTCTGATTCGCTACATTAATATCATTATACTATTTCAATATCCCAATTTGAATCTTTTGAAATTGTGCAGAAATTCACTCAGCCTTGTTGGAAGATTAAATTTTAGTTTGAAGGTTCAATTACTCTATTCATCTGACAATTCAATTTGATGAAGGCGAATACTGATATGTAAGTATTATATAAGGATGTTACATAGACAAAATCCGATTACGTCAAGAAGTAATGTTAACATTTATTCAAATAGATTTCACATCTAGTTGTAATATTGGATATAAGTTTCGATTGCAACGTAAAACTCATCCATTCCGCAAATTACTACCTATATAACTTGATAATGAATCGTTAAGGTGTTAAAAAAATAATGATTTTAGAATTTTACGATGGTATATCTGAGAATGGCCGTACATCGGCTGAAGAAAGATGAACAACTGAAAGTGTTACCGTCATTGTTGAACGCGTTGAAAGCGAATCTCGCAGACAAGAACGTTGTTGATCAGTTAGTTGCAGACAGTCTATGCCCGTTTCCTTATTTTTAGTAACTTTTTTATGAGCGTTTCTACCAGTTCTTTTCGAAGTATATGCATCAAAACTGTGTGTTTTATCTTATTTTATTAAAATGGAAAACCGAGATGAAAATCTTTTTATTTTGAAATAAATTATCAATGAGGTCAGTTGAAAATGACGCGAAGAAATTGCGTTATCATGAAGGCACTGCCAAAGCGAACAGTTTGAAAAGCGCATATCTGTTTTACGGGGAACATTATCTGTTCGAAACAAGTTTTAGAATGTATTAGATTATTTTAGAATGTATCTAAGAAAATGTTTCCCGGAGCAACGTTGCTGAATCGTTTTGATGTGTTGTCACTTTCAGAATAATTCTGTTGACTGCCGGTGGTTGGTTGCGATTAGCAGAAATGAATGCCGAGAAATGGCCTGATCTCAATGAACTGAATGACCCTTCGATACGTTCTGCAGTCCTCAAATTCTTCTCGGATATTCTCGCATTCCCATATCCAGTGTGAGTTTTCAGTGAAATAATTTGGACGTGATATTTTTCGCGTTTGAGTGAAAAGAGATTTTCGAGCGGTTGTCAGACATTAATATTCATGCTTTGCAGTGGTGATTTAGCGACATTCGTAACGAGAGTGGAAGCAACTCGTATGGTCAATTTGAGTTGTATATCAATCAGCACTTACCTAAAGATCGCTAAGGACCTTTTCGTGGCAGCATCGTTGTCCATCACTGATGTAAGTTCTCCGGTTTTGTATCGAGTCATAATGTGTTTAAGTTCTCAGCTTTGAAATGGGAAAATTTTTAGTAAAAAAGGAAAACTCAGTTTGTTCAGAATGACAGAGAGCAGTGGTAATTTCAGGTGAAAGTGGCCGTTTTGAAAGTGTTATCGTCGAAGTATTTCACCGATAAGGATTGTTTGCCGTTGCTGCCGTTGGGTCTGGCGAACGGCTGCAATGAAGTGGAATTCGCGGCGGATTCTTGCATGAAAAGAATTGATCAGCCGGAAACTCTGAAAGATAGAGGAGTCATCAATAAACTGTTCACATTGTATTTGGGCAATCCGTCGAAGGCAAGTTTAAAAATGCAGCGTGGTGATCGTATGGAATAGTAGTGGAAATGAATTTTACCACTGAATCATTTGAGAAATTCATGCAAATGAGATAGTGTATTGACTGCATGATTTGAATTGTTGGTAAATGGATGCTGAAGGCTGATTTTAGGATTTGCCACAAGATGACCAAATACCGTGTGCATCAGTGACACTGAAACTGCGTATTGTACCGCTGTTATTACGATCTGAAATTGCATCAAGCATGTTCCCTTTCAACATCAAGGTTTGTCTTTGACATTGATTACGTATCAATACATCCTTAAGTGTTGCCATCGTACACTGGTGTTTCAAACAAATTCATGTAAAAATTCTTCTGAGAGGTCAGCTCGATTGCAGTACGACGTTGTGGACAGAATTTTGAACGGCGTAATCGTTTAGTGATCAGTTTTGGAAGATGAACTGCTTATGACGTTGTTTTGAGTATTTTT